GGTAGGCAGCGCAGGGGCCGGGGGGGACGCCGGTTCAGCTGGAGTGCCGCCCTCCTCTGCCAGCGCTGCGCAGGATTGATGGGCAGCACAGCGAAGCTTTCGTGCTCCTCCGGGTCCTGGCGTTAACCAGCTGGCTGGCAGAAACTCTGCCTTTCCTCAAGGTAGTTTGGCTGCTCTGTGGTTTTCCGTGTTTGAGTTATGATTTATCATTTGTTCCCAGGCCACAGATGACCAAACAGCTACTCCATCCTGGACGTGCTTTTTTTCTTTTTCATTTTCAGTGTCAAAATCTTGACATACTTCTTTTTTCTGAATACTGGAACAAATTTTGACTATTTCGCTCCCCTCATGCTGTGCTGGAGCTCCTTTCCTATTATATACTAAGCAAAGATCTCACTTTCTGTATTGCCACCAACTGAGAACCAAACACTGAAGGGCTGTAGAAAAGCTCTTCATCTGTAATTTCAAGAGACCTAAAACCACTTGAAAATTTAAGACTGCTATGAATGCTTCCAGTCTCCTAATGAGAGTATTCCACAGTTGGCTTCTCTTCTTGATATTGTCTTACAGGTTTTTTTCCTCTGATTCCTATTTTGAATCATGGAAGAAATCCTAGGTTTTCGTTTTCTTATTAGGTTTCATCTATTCAAGCAGATGACTAATTAACCATCACTGTAGCTGAACTGGAAAAAAAAAAAGTTTTCTGTGACACTGATGATCTTAAAATTCAATGTAAAGTGCTGTATCCTTAATAATGTACTCCTTCCAAGATTCAAATTTACCTTTGATTTTCTTGTTGTGTGCATAAGCAGACTAGCAAATGGAATCACAGAAAGGTTAAGGTTGGAAGGGACCTTAAAGCCCCCCCAGTCCCACCCCCTGCCCCGGGCAGGGACCCCTTCCCCCAGCCCAGGGGGCTCCCAGCCCCGTCCAACCTGGCCTTGAACCCTTCCAGGGAGGGGGCAGCCACAGCTGCTCTGGGCACCCTGGGCCAGCGCCTCACCCCCCGCACAGGGAACAATTTCTGCCTTAGATCTCACCTAAATCTGCCCTCTGTCAGGTTAAAACTGTTGCGCCTTGTCCTGTCACTACAGGTCCTGGTAAAACATCCCTCATAAGTATGTTCTGTTGTAGCAGGTCTCTGCACAGTACACTACCGCTCTCTTGCTGCTATTTTCTACCATTTCCCTTATAACTGATTATGTGTTAGCTTTCATTTTTTGGTTGTGGTTTGTTTTTTGTTGTTGTTGTTAGGGTTTTTTTTTGTTGCTGTTGTTTTGTTTTGTTTTTTAAAAACTGCTTACCTTGATCTCCAGTTTATTTTAGCTTACTTTCTCCTTAAAATGCATTTTCACAGCACATTCCAACATATGGGAAATCTGAAATTTGTGTAAAAGGTAAGTATTCTGAGATGATTTTTGTAGGTGTTTAATCTAGATGACTTTTTCCTCCCACCTCCATGTTTGAGACATTTAGGCTTCACCTCTCAAAAATACTAGAGTTTATGTGTTCTGTGGAGCTCCAGGACTAGGTGTCATCTGAGAAAAATCTCTACCCATTCACTGGTTGTCCTTCAGTTTTGGCTAAGTGCTGGACTTCTGCACTGTGCTAGCCTAAAAGGTGATTGATCTTAGAATGAAAAGAAAAATAAAGGGCTGTACTCGTGCACAAAGATAATTTGCATCTTTCATCTCTGTTGAAGAGGGAACAGAGACCTTCAGATCCAAACCACCTGAGTATGGGGAGATTCTGTTCTCTCAGGTGTTTGCAAGCGTAGGAACATGGTGCCAGCACAGAGCTGCAGCCAGAGGGAGATGGAGCAATCTAGAAGCAGGGGCAAATAATTAGCTAAAAACTAACCGTGTTCAAATACCCCTCACCTCCACATTTTACCTCCTACTTGGGCATAAGAAGGTCAAGAATCTGGCAGAGAAAGGAAAAGGCTGAGCTCAATGAAAGGGAAGTAGTTTAGTGGTTTGAAAACGTGTTGCCCTATTTACCATTAACTTTTCAGATTTAATTACGCATGGCACTGGTGTGTGGGGGAAGCCTTGTGCTGAATGCTTTTAATGGGAAGTTCATAACCAGATGGCTGAAGTCCATTGAAATTCATTAGGCCAATTCTTAGAACTTTGCAAGTAAATAATGCCATTATCAAGGTCAAGAATGTTTAAAACTATGCATAAATGTGTTTGGAACGAAGTTGAAGATTGTGAGATACTACCTCAAACCTGGTGTGGCTTTCACCTATCTTATTTTTAAAAGTACAGAAAAACTAACTGGGCGGGTACAGTCACTGCAAAAAGTACACAGCAAGTTCTTGGGAAGATGACAGAACAGGGCTTGCATTGAAATTGGGACCATACGCCATCACATTGGGTTCCAGCTTATGGAGATGGGAGACCTCTGGATTCCTCTCTTGCTTGTCAGAGTTCTGAAATCTTTTGACCAAGTCAGAGATATAATTATGATTTTCATCTTATTTCACTCGAACCTTCCAGTTTATTCTTCGTGGCAGGGACTAGGAATGCAGGAGCGGGCTTTTTAGTTTACAATTTGCTGCTGCTCTACTAGCCCGACTTCAAAATGGCAGCCCGAAGGCTCCGAGCTGCTGGGCTCTGCACAAAACAAAACACCCTTCAAAACGGGGCTGGCATTGCGTTCGGTGTGCCGGCGAGGCTCTTCCCAGCCTGCTCCTGGCTGCCAGCTCACGCTTGCTGCTGCACAAAGATAAGGGCCGGGGTAGGATCCTCCTGGCGCCCAGCCCAGCCCGGGCTCTGCCTTAATGAGAGCACCAGGGTGGGAGGCCGCTGCCTGCCCGGAGATGGTTTCCCTGGTGGGAGGCAGAGAAGTGTGTATGTGAGAAATCCTGCCCTATAAAAGTGTCTTGCCATGATTTGGGTGACAAGCCCATAATTCTAATGAATTATTTACGGCCCTAGCTGAAAGCAGCGATTTAATACAGATACCATTTTGAGCACCGGTTGAAGGTTTTTGTTTTGGTTTGGCTTTTTTTTTTTTTTTTTGATGAATCAGTCCCAACTGTTTCCACCATGTAGCAAAAGTGATTTCAGGCACCAAGAAGGAAATTGGGCTTTTGGTGACTGGAGCAGCCGCTATTGTGGGAACTGGCAAAGCTGACTGGGGAAAGTGTGACGAGAGAAGGGACAGACTATATGGATAGAAGAGACTTGCAGCAGATCATCTCCTTGTTGATGCTGAAATTTTGTACTGATGGTAGCGAAGATTACAGTTTACCTTTAAAAAAGAGAAATCAATTTCTTTGCATGCTGCAACTCCCCACTTCAGCAGTGGAATCGTCGGTATCCTACTGGTTGCCAAATGAAAGGAACAACGAAGAGGCTGCAGCACAAAGCCGGGTAGGGCACACCTCTAAAAGTCACCTGGCAATGCTCAAGGGGCTTCGCGCCTCCCACGCCTTCCAGGAGGACAAAACGTGGAGCACACTGCGAGGAGCCCACAGTATTTTTCTCAAACGGAAGATCTGGGTTGAGCAGTTTTGTTGAATGTGGCTTCAGCATTAATGTGCTACCTCAATATGAAAATATAACAAAAGGGGGAAAAAAAACCCAAACAAAAAAACTGGAGGTTAAAGACTAGGTGTTTGCTCAATTTCTCCTAACAGTGTTAACATATATACTGCAGGATTTAAAAATCCTAGAACACCAGGTTGGGAGGGACCTCAAGGATCATCTGGTCCAACGTTTCTTGGCAAAAGCCTGGTCTAGACAAGATGGCCCAGCAGCTGGATCTTCAGTGTCCAACGCTGGGGAAAAACTGGAACTGTTCTTGCAGGAAAAGCCTTACAAAACCTCTTCCTAAGGCTGCCTTAAGGCCCAACAGCTCATGAGATAATGCAAATGTATGACACCGATCTAAAGAGTCAAACCACCTCTTCTGTAAGATAACATTTAATGCAAAAAGCCTCCACACTCTGCAGATCTGTAAGAACTGGTTCTACTGGCAGTCCCTTGGGGTGACTAGAGTCTTCTGGGTCAGTGGTTCCCCTTCTACTTCACACCGTGCAGGTTATTCAGAAAAATGTCATCGCAGTTATGAGGAGCATTATACCAGCTGCTGGGTGAGAGAACACGGATGCAGCAGGAAAAGCAGTTCTTGCTGGTTGGGAGATGTTGCCTCAAATAGAGCTCCACTAAGAGAAAATACTGCTGTAATTAGGAGATTGCAAGATAAAACTGTCAACCACTCACTTTCCCTTTGCTTTTACACCACGTATTTTATCAGGTAAAAGGTTTTAAATGATTACTAGAGCAAATCAACAGAAAAGGAACATAGTATTTTGTGAATTCATGGGTCTTGGCAAAGTCATCGTGTTTTCATACCAATTTAAGCCCCTCTGCTACTACCTGGATGGCTCAGAGTGCCTCAGAGCTTTTATGGTGTCATCTTTGTAATTTCATTAATGCACACAGACTTAATACACACAGATCAAGAATTGGTGAGCCTGGTGGGGAAAAAAAAAAAACCACAAAAATCTACAGTAGGTAAGTTATAACTGGTAATATTAGTAGAAGCCCACCAAGAACAGGAACTATGAAAACTTTTTAAATTTTCAGTGCAATAATATGCTTGTTGGCACAATGTTTAAACCATCAGATAACGATGACCAGTGAGAATTCTCACATCCATCCCCAGTTTGCTAGCAGCAATTCAGACTGATTTCCTAAAGATCAACATTTCATGTTGCAAACTCTATGTGACAAATCTTTTGTGATGACTTTAAGCGTGTAGGCCTTTTGAATAGGTATGTATTGCACAACTCAATCCTCCCAGTTCACAACTAATAGCAAAATTCTTTAAGGCCCGGATTTTCTGTTTATTTCCTATAGATATTTTTTCCTTTTGCCAAGTTCAATGTAAAATTTAAAAGTGCTCAATTGTATGATGTTCTTCAATTATCACAAACAGATCTGCACAGCCAATATCCTGACTGAAGTCACCAACAGGAGGCAAAGTTCTATGTTCTGGGTTCGCCTTTTAATTTAACTTATACAGTGATGGTAAAGTGCTGCTTTACCACTGCTTCATATCTACCACTTGATTGTACTCATCAGCTATCTTATGGCTGCATTCCAATAGCCAATAATGTAATTTCAGACCATTTCCTAATAAAAGCATTCAGAATAGCTTAATAAAGTATCTAACATAGCCAACAGGCGAGAAGTTAAGTAACCAGAATATGGACAGTCTTCAGAGGAAGATTAGATCCACCTCAGAAATGTATGGAAGTGGTTCTGTAATTAAATCATTTCATTAACGGCCCCCTTTTTGCGAGCACTCGATTTGTTTCAATCCTTAACTAATGAACTGCCCTTGCATTTCACGTTGTCGGCGCATGAATGCGGTGGCACGCCAGCCCACGCTCTGTTGACTGTAACTCGATTCAGCGGAGAGGTGTGCCCGCGATTTGGCTGCGGTCGGGGAAGGCGGAAGGAGCCGTCACGCTTCAGCAGGTCGAGTGGAAGACTCCCCCCACTCTGACACCCCGAGCAGCCAGGGTGTTGTACTCTTCCACAGCCTTCTCGGTTTGCAAGACCAACACATCGATCCCGTTTTTCTTCAGATAGTCCACGGTAGATGGTGGAACCTCAGAAGAGAAAAGGAAATGGGAAGAGCAAGTATTCTTTCCCCCTCACACGGTAAGGCTTGAAGAAAAGCAGGTACTGATGCCATTTGTTAGTAGATACACTTAAGTAACTGATAGTAGCCAAACTGATAATATGCGCAGATATTTCTATGATTGATTTACATTTTTTTTCTCTTCAATAAAGCTTTTAGACAAACACCTCCCATCTCTCCTTCACACAGTTTAAAATGCAGCCCTTTCTTACAAAAATAAATAGAACTGGAGCTAGAGGTAATTAATCTAAATAAGGTGCTACTCGCTTCACCAAAAAGCTAAAGAATTGCTTCTCCTCAAGGAAAGCTCAGCACTTCTCAGCTCTCTGCAGCTAGTTTATCTGCTGAAATGATACCCTGCCAACATTAGTAACAAAAATGCCTAATTATCAAAGTATTTACAGCAGGCTAGAGAGCTAGTTCATAACCTGTGCTAAGAGGGGGGGGGTAATGACATTGTAAAAAATTCTCCTTGTTTCAATTGCTCCTGTAGCAGAACATAAACCTGTTTACTGCTTGACATTGACGCTAATATAGAGGAGCTCAAATGATGTTTCTTTCAGAAAGAGAGGGACTCCTGGCAGGAACTCAGCCATGCTAATTCTGCATCCTGAATTTTTCCCCTCTTAGTAAAGCATCGTATTTTTTTTTTTCCCCTAATAAGAGGGAGAGGGAAAACAAACAGTTCTAGTTTATGTTTCTCACAGAACAAAAACCTACCTGCAAAGCCTCGCTCATGCCACGACCAATCACCACTGTTTTAACACCCTTCTTGACAACTTCTTCAAGGTCAGCTGGCTGCACTCCTGGAGAATGCTAAGTGTCAGGGGAGGAAAAGAAATCTCTGTACTGACAGCACCAACCAGGAAAGCTTTGTATGTTTTGAAACTAGCCAAAGTAGCAGGGTAAATTAGCAGTACCAAAATGTAACACAAGCCTCTTTTCTGCATACAAACAGTAGATAACATTGGTAATTAAAATAGGTACTTTATATGCAGATGAAGGACGACAGTTAATCAATTGATGGCAGTATTCTCATTCTTTATCAAAGTTAAAAATAAAAAGATGCACTGCACATTTCTAAGACACGGCTAACATAGCATTTTATAAATATTAAAACTTAAAAGTGAAATCAATAAATTGCAACATATTCCTGTTTGTTTTCAAATGAACATTATCTCTTTGTAATAAGGATTGTGACAAGTCACAGTTTATTCACTTTAACTACAAAGAGCTCCTCAAATAATTAAAATTATTAAATTCTTTTTTGGTTTACTTTGCAAATCTCATTTACCGAAGAGGACTTAAAGGTACCAGTTAGCTTAATTTCTGTTAGTTTAAATTTCTGTACTACTATTAATTTGAGAAAGGAATATTTAAAATCAAACCCCTCAGAGAAAAAAAAGAGCTTTAACAACATGTTGACTGAATTTTTAAAGCAGTACACCCCCACTTACTACTGGTATGCTTTAAATATATGAATCCACAAATATATCTGTAATGTTAATATAAAACATTGTTATGTCACACTAATTCTCCTCCTGGATTCAATTTCTGTGTATCCCTATATGGCCAAGAGTATGCTACTATACAACCTGTGGCTAGAATTTGGCCCCTCTTTGGTGTGCAATTTTTTTTTAAATCATAAATACTACTTCCTCTCCCCCCCTTTTTTTTTTTGTAGGATTCTTAAGTTCTTTTACAGGACTGAGATGAGTTTCTCACCTGAAGTAGGTAATGCCATCATGGACTTCTGGAGAATGTTATTTTTATGGTTTATCCTCTATACTTCTAGAAACTACTACATTCTTTCAATGAATTACGGTTAAAGCACCAGCTTAACACTTGGCTTCGGCTGTTTAATTAGTTGGTGAGCTTTTCTTTGACACCCTTGGGTCCTCTCCTTTTTCCCCTGCCCAGGTCTTCAGCAGCTGATGCTGGAGCCTCATACGAGAGGTCAGGAGATCTCTTCTCAGCCCTGTCAATGCCTCCGTTTTAAGAACAGAGCAGGCAAGACTTTTCAAGCTGAAACAAACACATGAGCTCCTGAAACTGCAGGTGAGGGAAACCTTCCATGGGAGGGTGCCACGACCGATGTGGGGATTAAACTTTATCCCACAAGAAAGTCGTTAGCCTGGCTGGTACCTGGAATTTCAGCAAGAGAGATGGTTTGACTTTATCACTCTCCAAGTTCACAGAATATCTGGAGTTGGAAGGGACCCCTAAGGATCATGAAGTCCAACTCCCTGCTCCTTGCAGGCCTGCCTAAAACTTAACTGTATGACTAAGAGCATCATACAGACATTCCTTGAACTCTGACAGGCTTGGCGCCATGACTGCTTCCCTGGGGAGCCTGTTCCAGTGACCAGCTGCCCTCTCAGTGAAGAACCTTTTCCTAATGTCTAATCTGAACTTCCCCTGACGCAGCTTCACTCCATTTCCTTGCGTGCTATCGGGAGCCACCAGAGAGAGATCAGCACCTCCCGCTCCGCTGACCCCTTGAGGAAGTTGTAGACTGTGATGGGGTCACCCCTCAGCCTTCTCTTCTCCAAGCTAAACAAGCCAAGTGACCTCAGCTGCTCCCTGTAAGTCTTGCCCTTGAGACCTTTCAACATCTCGGTCGCCCTCCTCTGGACACCCTCTGATCAGTTTGTTGTCCTTCATGTATTGAGGCGCTCAAAACCACACGCAGTACTCGAGGTGGGGCCACACCGGTGCCGTGTGGTGGGACAATCACCCCCTCTGACTGGCTAGCTGTGCTGTGCTGATGCACCCCAGGACGTGGTTGACCCTTTTGGCTGCCAGGGCCAAGAGCTGTGCTCCCCCTCATCCGTTTACATTTGATATCCCCACCTAGAATGCTGAGGTTACTTCAATATGCAGAGTTCTCTCAGACCAAATCATTGCAAATACTATTTATGACAGAATTGGTAAATGCTTTTCCTTTAGGGTGTTTTAAATTAGACTCAAAACTTAGACAAAAAGAACTGGCATGTTTTGCTACAATTACAATAATTAGATTGCCAGTGAAGGTTTCCTGTCATATGACAAGTATTCCTGAGACATTAAAGCCATAGAGCAAAAGGATTTTCTTTGATTACAAAGGACACTCTGACATGGGGGCTTCCACATGTTTTGTAGGAAACTAATGTCATTAAAGGAAATGTGTAACATGACACAATAACTGTATTGTTGCTGACTTGACGGCAGGAAAGAGGAAGGGCAGCAGAGTTTCTTGCCATTTTGTTCTCTGTTCTTCCTTTCAGGATTCCTACTTCTCTTCTCCCAGAAGCAGATGGCACTGAAATGCAGCCAGCCAGGGAGGCTGCCTTTCATCCCCAAGGGTTAAGGTCATATGAACTATTAGGGCTTAGTTACAGAACCTTGCAGAGCCAGTTATACAATTTTCCTAATGAAAGACTTGCATGCTGGGCAGCAGTCTGATAGCAGAGAAGGAAGCAATTTATTTCCAACTAGTGTGGGACATGACCAGCACTGCTCACTTCCCAAACTTCAGCTCCAACTACCCCCAGGAAAACATGCCCCCCAAAAGTAGGCACACTGCAGTCTACTGTAAAGAAATGTGCAGAAGATGCATCTGGTGAATCCTACTATTTCCAATGCTGATGGGATTAACTTTTTTACAGTTCTTCTAGAGTTGGAGATGCAGTCTAGAAAAGCTTAGTTCTATTCGCACATTTGTTGCTTGAAATTAATTTTTAAATTCATTTTAAAGTGACCTAACTCCTCATAGCTGCAAGGGGGATAGAACTGACCTAAACCAGGAGCTTTACAAGTAGCCTACAGATGGCAAAACCTAAACAGGTCATTTTTACTTCCTGGTTGTATAAAAAGCATGCCAGAAAACCTACCTCTCTAAATAACTATTTTTTTTCTCCTCTGATTTTAATTTAACATAGACTCATTTTTTCTTGTTTCAGCTGGACAACTCCACTAAGGACTTTTATGGACTTAAGGCTTTTATCTGTCACCTGAAGATATCCCTTGTTAGAAACTTTAAAAGGAAAGCATGGCCTCCTAAATGCTAGTAGGTTGTTATAATTTGAAATAAGTTTCAAGTGGTCAGAATGAATATCAAAATGTGATTGTGCTGGGAACTAGTTGACTTTTCAGCTACTGTATCTGTTCCGCTTCTTCAGTCATATGTGCATATAAAGCAGGAAAACAATACAGTCAAACATACAAAAAGCAATTCTCACCATGCAACACCCTCCCCCCAAACAGCCACTGAAAACTCAATTTTTTATAATCAGACCATAAATTAAATATATTTTAAAAGGTTACATACACATCTATCTTTCTCTCTGCACACTACAGATAACTTTGCATGACAACACTAGCTTTCTCGGTGTTATATATTCTGTATAAACTGAACTCTGACAGCTTAAAAAAATTCTGTTCCCTCAAGGATTATAGATGAAGTTCCAAACCTGAAGGTTCTGCCCTTCAGTTGTGTCAAAATAAATTCAACAGAGTGGTACCCTCTGTGCAGATACAGCTGCAGGTCCTGGGTCTAAGACCCGATCAGAATGTAGTTATTTTGTGCTTTAACTTTTGCTTAGGAAGTATAGATTTTTTTTTTTTTCTAGCCAATACAGCTATCCTAGTGCAAGGCCCAATACGAGCAGAACTATCAACATCAAGTTCCTTATGCAATAGACATTTACACTGCTTCTAAATCTGGAATGTCAATACTGTTCTATGTACTTTCATGCAACTCTGATAGCATTTACAGATAAAGTTTAAAAATTGCGAGGGCAAGCATTTAGTATATGTCTACCAAGAAAAGTCATTGTGTGGTTAGCTGGACTGTGAGCTTTTCACAGAGAAACTGGTGTGTATGACACTATGTGCATATTTTTCCTCTGAAATAAGTACAAGGGACCCCAAGGAAAAGGATATAAACTAAACCACATGCATTGTTGTCTTCCAAGCACATAAGGTCAGTTACTGTCTATTTAACTTCCCATAAATTTTTTTTCCTATTTCGTTCAGGACAACTTTTGTTTACACAGTCTGAAAAAAGGCTGATACCAGCTTCTTATGACAACTGCACTCAAACGCAGAATTCTGTTTGAGAGCTCCAAGGTATGTGAGAGGGGTCTGGGGAGCCGTGAGGACTGGTGGCAATAGCTGCTACACCCTGTCACCTGTAGGACATTGTGTGGCTGCTGTCCTCTGACCTCTCTGCACAGTCACTTCTGAAACGTACACTCCGTTTTTCCCAGGAAAAGTCTAACAGTTGGATAAAAGCAAAAGGCAGCCTGCTGAATTTCTGGATGGAACTCTAACAACTGTTTTGTGGACCATTCTCAGAGTCCTGTTTAAAATGCAGGATAGAGAGTAAACAATAAACTTACATTAGTCCCAGTTTCTCGCCAATCCCAGGTTCGGCTTCCTCCTGGCCATACTTTACAGTCCTTATACATTGTAGAGCAGCCTTTCACCTTCATCTGACCCCAAGAAAGGGAAGCAATTTCAGGGGAAGACATCACAGAGTTGAACCAAAGTCTGAAAAAAGGATATTTAGTACATAACATCAGGCCAACATATGCAACATGTTAATAAAAACAGAAAATTCTGTTCTTGTCCCAAGGAGCTAGGAAGGAAATGCTATTAAAAACTTCATCCGTGTGATTTTGTGACAACAGAATTGAACTGAGGATCAGCAGATTTACTGAATTACTAGTCCTCTTGGGGATTTTGTGCAGGATTTTGGGCAAATCATTTTACATGCTAAATCTGTCTTGAGTACTCAACTTTTAAAACTATCAACAGGGATCAGGTCCCAGAATATCTTCTCACATCTGGGTTTTAATCTTCTCTCTAAAATATACAATGAACATGATAATAATTTCCTAAAATATGAGATACACACTGTTTCTTTGGCCACTTCATTAATTTAAAGCGGTAAATGAGGTTAAAAAAAAAAATCCCGAACAAACCAATCCAGTAGAAAAGCCACGAACAAAACAATGGCACTGCCATACTGCTATAGCAAACAAGACTTTCAGAGACCTAAAGGGGTCAAGCCTTCTTTCTCTAGTTGCTCTTCACAGAGGACAAGAATCCCTATGTGATGCCTCAGGACAGTTAAATACCCAAATAATTCCTTTTGTAATGTTTGACCTCGATTTGAAGAACAGCTTAATCTTTGTCTTTTCCACCATCTTTTGTTTTTCTGAGGAGTTAGCTCTTAGTCTTTTTTTCCTTTCTTTTAGATTAAATAAACTTCCCTTCAGTCATGTTTTCTAAATCTCTGCTTATTTTCTCCTTTTTTCCCCTGGCAGCCAACAATTGGTATGCACCTTTCTTTGATGTCTGTTGCCTAGATCTATACACAGTGCTCCAGCTGAGGCCTTATCAGTGCTGCTAGAGACCAACCGCTTTTTGGTATTAACTGCAGTGATTTTTAGACCTGCTATGACAATCACAGCTGGGCATCAGTAGGGCAGGGGCTCTCCCTCAAAGTACAGCCTCGTCACATCACAAAAGCTTACGCCCTCTTCACAGTCCTTCCCGTTATGCGGACTGATTGCTGGTGTGATTCTGGCAATAGGCAATAAGAGAGGAATCACACGGTGACACCCTAGAAATACGTCAGACTAGCATTAACTGACACATCTCCAGGGTAGGGTCACCTTTCTGCCCTTCCAGTTCAGAAGGAAGATGGTCTGAAATCCTCATGATGAAGAAGGCTGGTTGTTTCTGCAGTAAAAAGAGCTCTGCTCCTGGCTGATCCAAAAAACCTCAGTAGGAGATACACAGTTTCTCATCCTTTACAATTGTTCAAATTCACCAGGAAAAAAAAAATAATTTAAAAATCAATCACAGGAGCCCAGGTGGCACAGATTAGAGAAAAAGCCCTTGCAAAAGCAAAATCTTTGGATTAACCATGCTTCCAGTCCTCATGGAAGCATCCCTTCCCATCTTGCACGTCACAGCAAACCACGGTGTGGCCAGGCAGGACACGCTCTTCTCGGATTGCCAGGAGTGGATCTCAGAATCCTGCTTCAAACTTGTCATGAAATAAAAACTGCATCACTTTGGATTCAGCACAGGACCGAGTCTGCCAGAGGTGCTTCTTCCACAGGATAGCAGGGTGATTATTTTCTTTCTCGTTCCTTTATGAACTTAGTGGCATGTGTGCCCTGCCAAACAGGAAACCAGGCAAGCAGCTATAGGGGAACAAAACTTGCTTGGATTCATATATTCTAGATTGTCTCATTACACATCTGCAATGCAACAGATTCAAACGAATGTTTGTAAGACTATTTTCCTAAAAATCTGCTTGAAGGGTGATGATAACTGAATAACCAGTAGTTCCAACAGAATTAAATTGCCCATCAACCAAAGAATAAAGGCTGAATAAACCACCCAGAACCTGACTCTGAAGAATGAAAATAATTTTTGTCTATGCTAGCTGTGAGAGGAAATGGCAGAATTAGACCTGGAGGTTAGACAGAGGTAAGTGAATAAAATTATTAGAAATATCAGATTTCCCAATCCAAATAGTATTACAAAGCTGGGACTGCACAATCGAACAGGCAGAAACTGCAAATGGGAAAGCAAGGGTTCCATACTACCTTTTCCAAACAGCACAAAAGTAAGTAAAAAGCAGAAACAAACAAACAAACAAATAAAGAAAAAAACAAAAAAGCCAGAAATAAAATTTTATAATCTAAAGCGATTTTCCATAATACTAACAGAGAGTAAGGTCAGGTTATCTGATTTAATAAGAGCATCTTAAAATTGAGTAAGAATGAACGTTCTAACAGGAACTCTGGACATCCTTGATGCAGGGCATGGTCCAATCATCAATCAGCAAGGAGTAGGAAAATATTTCCCCTCACTAATTAGTTGGTTTTTTAATTGATCACTATGAGAAATGTACAGTACCAAAATATACAGTACCACTTAAGATCAAAAGAGACCGTGAACTATATGGCTTGCAAGTATAACCTAAAATAGCAATATCTGTAAATTGCAGTAGTCCAAATACAAAGAGATGAGGAGGAGAAATGGTTTAGGAATGTATAAAACAAAAGTTATGAGAGTTTTAAAATACAGAAAATAATGCAATGAGACTATACTGAAAGAAAAATGAAGCAGTGGCTAAGGATAGTAGAAGCAAAAAAAAATAGCTCAGGATGAAACTGAAGAAACTTGAGATTTAAGTGCAGTCGAGCAAACAGCTGGATTTTTAAATTGCCAGCACACCTGTCTTCTGTGAAGGTAAACGTTGTTTCAGAGTAGCACCCACCAGCAACAAATTGAATAAAAAAGGTGAACGAGAGTAGTGCAGCAGAGAATACTCTATTGAGAGACTGCAGAAGGAAAGAATGTTTCATAAAACCCAACCTGAGATCAAAAAGGATAAAGGTGAAAGAGGAAATCGGCGCTGTGTCAAGTGTTGGGCAGAACAACTCCTGTCAGGTGTCAAAGGACAGCACAGCTCTGCAGCGCAGCCTGGGAACGGGGTCAACTGGTGAAGGTGGGAGACTTCTCTGCAGCCGATGGGATTTCAGAAGTGATACAGCCGCCAGAAAAGCGGCTCAGGGTTTACAACCTGGCAGATGAAAGGCAAGGAGAAAGGACAGGCTAAGTTTCTATGAACAGGGTAGGGAGGGGGCGGATACCAAGTTTAAGAACCAGGAAAACATTTTTCAGGAAGGTGGTAATCCAGTGTTGCTGAGGAGCCTGATGGAGGGAAGTTGAGGGAAGATCATGGGGGGTGCTGGTAATAGGAGACGGGGGAGAACAGCACTTTGAGAATAAGACGGGGAGGAAAGTTAGGAGGAAAGGATCAGAGAACCGAGGAACATGGAGGGCGGGGGGCGGCTTACAACGGCGAACGCGGAGCGGGCGGCACCACAGGTCTTAATACCGCCTCCCCCCCAAACAAGGCCTTGCGTGAGGACCCGCCGCCTCACGCCTCTCCGCCGCCGGGCGGTAAGCGGCCGGCCCCGGGGAGCCCCTATGAACGCCGAGGAGCCCCCAGGAGCGGCGAGAAGCCGCCCCCCCCCTCCCCCTTTCCCCTCACGCCGGGGGAGCCGTTCCGCGCCCGCACTCACCGCGAGCCGCGCAAACCCCGCCTACCCCGCGGGGGAGGGGGGTGGAAGGAACACCCCCTGGCCTTCTCATTGGCCGGCACCGCCCGCCGGGCCCGCCCCCTCCCCCTGCTCCGATTGGCCAGCCCGCCGGCCTATCCCCATCGCCCCTCCTTGTTTTCATTCCCCTCGCCGCACGAGGCAAGGGGGCGGGCGCTTGGCGCCGCTCTAGCCACCGCCTCTCCCCTCTTCCCTCCCTCGTCCCGCCGGTGCATTGTGGGATAGTGGCGGCGCGGCTCGGCAGCGCCCCCTCCCTTTCCCCCCCCCCCCCCCCCCCCCGAGCTCCTTCTCCATCCTCAGGTCCAAGATGGCGGCGGCGGCTCCTCCGGCTCCATCTCCGCCTCCCCCTCCTCCGGCAGGCCCGTGCTGCCCGGGCTCCTGGCCTAACTTCGCCGTCGTCTGCTCCTTTCTTGAGCGCTACGGGGCTTTGCTGGACCTGCCCGAACTGCCTTTCCCCGAGCTGGAGCGCGTCCTGCAGCCGCCACAGGAGCCAGGAGACCAGGGTGAGCGGCCCGGATACCTCCCCCCCCCCCCCCCCCACCGCCACCACCACCAACCCCCTCACACTTCGTGAGGCTGAGGGGGGGGGCGGCGGAGGGGGGACCGGGGCTCTTCCCCCCCCGCCTCCTCCCGGCCCCGGGGGTGGAGCGCGCTGAAGGAGAGGAGGGGCCTGGGATTCCCGGAGCGGCGCTCCGGGGGGGGAGGGGAGCTCTCTCCCCCCCTCAGCACGGCCCTTCTTTTTTTAGGAGGGGGGGGAGCAGCTGTTCGTGTGTGAGTGAGCTGCCTCCCTCCCCAGTGGAGCGCAGGAAGGAGGTGGGAGACCTCCACCCCCCCCCCCCCCGCCCGTCCTCCCCCCTCAGTGCTGGCTGTGACCTCCCTCTCTCCACCTCCCCCCCCCCGCCCCCCCTCCGTTTCTCTGGGTTTGTCCCCGAGATCAGTGCGGGTGGGACTCCTGCAGAAAGGAGGATAAGCTGAAATAACTATTTTTGTTCAGCCTGGCGCTGGCAGCCTGCCTCTTCCATCTCCTCCCCTTCCCCCCAGCTTGGGGGTCACTTCCCCCCCTCCCCGCTATGCGTGTGCCCGTTTTTACCTGCCCCCCCCGAAACAAGAAGGGGATCTACACACAAGGCAATGCGCTGATCCCTCTTCACCAGCCCCCCCCCCCTCCTTTCCTCTCTGTGTACGTGGGGTGAGGAACGGGGGGGCCCAGAGAAGCCCTACGCCCTCCCCACGGCAGCTTTTGTAGGCCATCTCCTCCCCACAAGCACAGCCATTGTGTGCCATCTCCATCCCTCTCTTCTCCTCCCCCTCGTCCCCTCTTGTAGTTGGGAGGGGGGTGGATGCACACAAGCTGCCTCCTTCCTCCTTCCCCACCACCACCTGAGCTGTGCGAGGTGGAGGGATGGGTTATGCACTCCACTGTTTTCTTTCGAGCTGCTCCTCCTCTCCTCTCTCCAGTAACAGATTTGGTTGCCAGACTAATTCCTGCTCCCTGCGATGGATGTGGGAGGGCCCAGGCCAGGAGACCAGCCTGGGGAGGGCTGTGTGGAGGCGGCGGGAGGAATATAGAGGGGAAGGTGCTTGTTGCTCTTGGTCTCTTGTCTCTGTTACTGGTTTGGTTGTTGCCTCTGCACTCTTGCCACATAGGGAGACCGTGGAGCTCACGGCGCATGCTCGGCAAGGCCCCATTGAAACTTCCTGCTGCTGGAGAAGCCCAGCTCACGGTTGCTTTTGGTCCAACAGCCCCTGCTTTTCCCCCCAAAAGGCACTCGCTCTCGCCTCCTTCCCCACCAAACCTACCCTGTTTGTGGGGGGTTTTGAGTAAATTGGAGTGTAGATGTTTCCTCGTATAAAGGAAGTTGCTTTTTGCAAAGTGCAGATGTCCTGTCAGTGTATTCACAACAGCCACTGCTGAAATAGAATGAAATAAGATGAATGTACTATCCCCTCACGTTGTCCAGTGCCTAATCAATATGAAAGATCTATTAACTTCTAAAAACAGGATTAACTTTTATGAAAATAGGTATTTATATTCAGTTCCTCAGCACTTCTATATCTCTGTTCTGTACTTCTGTTTGTATAAAGGACTCATTAGAAAAAGCATTGTTTTGTTAAACTTCTGCAAAAGTTATTCATAAAACCCACCGACACACTTAAAGGTTTGAATTTTTAATGAAAATATTTATTTTTAAGTGATGTCTGTAAAGAAAACTAATGCTTTTAGTGTGTGACACAAGCGGGTGTGTAAAAGTAATTTTCTTGTGTGAACTGCAGAATAAATTAAAATGAAAGGATGAGATAGTGACCTGTGTTTTAAGTATTTGCATTTGATTTAAAAAAAAACAAAAACAAAAACAAAAAACAAACAAAAAAAACCCAACAAAAAAAAAAAAAACACAACAGCTTGATGACTTTAATTGCGTGATGGGGGGTATTATGAATAGGGCAATGTTTATTGAATAACCCTTTTCTGAGAAGGTTTCAAATTATTTGCATTATGGAGTTTGCATTATGGGTTGATTTGATATTTGCCAATTTTTTAAACCTTTTTCTGTATTGCCATTCCTGTTTGGCAGAGGACAGGTTATTCTCACTGCTTTAGAACAGTTCCCCCAAAAGAGAGCAGTAGCTCCTGAAAATGTAATCTCCAAATTACTTGGGTTTTTTACTTGTGTCTGGTGCAGGTGATATATTTGCTTGTATTTTCTCATCCCTAAGAAAGAAAGTGTGGAGGTGTGAAAAACAAACTTGAGTGATTCTTGACGCTTTTTGTGATAACTTTTGTGCCAGGGTTTTTTCCTTTGATATAACCGACTCTTTGGGCTTGGTTTGTAGTGCTGGTAGCCGTTGACTGGTATATTTTATGCTTTTGGATAAATGGCTGCAGTGACTAGATTTCTATACATGATTTTTGCTTCAATTAGTCCCCAAAGTGGTGTTTTTAAGGGTACAAGTCATGAAGTTGCTAAATACTGACTGAAAACTGAAGTGGACTTTTTTTTTTTTTTTTTTCCTGAACATCTGTTATTTACCAACTGTATGTAGTTTTCCTTGGATAGCAAAAGGGATTTTGATTTCAGTTACACACAGTTAGTTTCACTTCTGAAACCATCATTGCTTGACAGTGGGTTTGCACTGACAGTAATATATAACAAAATCTAAGCAAATAGCTTCAAAACCTCAAAGTGTTTTTTTCTGAACTTCTTAGAGTCGGGACCAAGTTTTAAGCCGTTATTTGGCAGTTGAGATTCTTTAGAACTTCTCTCCGTATTAGTTTTGCAGTCAGGGAAGGGAATACATAGTTTTGTTTTTTTGTTGATTACCTGTAACACTGTTTTGATGCTCAGGAGTTTCAAAAGTGGTGGGGTTTTTGTTGTTTTGTTTGTTTTTGTTTTTGTTTTTGTTTTTGTTTTAAAACATGGTTTATATTGTCTTGTCTGAAGAGTAATTCTTGGAAGATGCCAGTAGAAGTTATTTTCTTTATAGTAGGAGCCTCAAGAAGAACTAGGAGCTCAAGTTTGACTGTTGTTCAGTAGCTGTATAACAGTCATATTTTCTTTCATGTTAATAATTAGAACAAAGAGCTTCTTCATTATTAAGGAAACAAGGTATAAACTTCCCATACAGGAGGGGATGCTGTGTGTGGATGCTGAGCAGATGTTGATAGCTAGAAAGCTATCAAGTATTACTTAGAGGGATTTTAGATTTTTGTTAATGCTCAGACAGCATTTGAACTTTGCAATATTACCTCTCCTACCTGAGAATGTCAATGCAGATAGTAACGACAGTAGTGCTCGAATAGGAATAGTTTTCCGTAGTAGTCTGACTAGTTTAGATATCAAATTAACCTGTATTAGTAGTGGGTTAGATGTTTTAACTGTGTGTATACAGGTCTGGTCTTGTCTTAAAATGCACAAACCAACTTAAAATGTGCTTTGGGATTTGGTGGTTAATAGAAATCATGCTTGAATAGGAAAATAACGTGTGCTGTTGATTTCGCCCATTGCTATTGAATGGTGGGACAAACTGGTACCTCTGGAAATAGTTTGCTTCTTACAAAGGCTGTATGGTAAAGTACCTTAACTTTTCCAGATGGAAGTTGCAACTCTTCAAACAAAGTGATGAGACCTGTGTTTATCTGGTGAAGATTTTATTTTATGAAAAATAACTATCTTGCCTTTAAGAATGCTCATCTTTGCTATACGTACAATGTTGTGACTTGGGTTGCAATTATGACGATTTTAAACTGCTTTGGAAGGATTAAAGTCGAGTGTCTATCAAGATGGTGACAATGTTAACTCTCAGACTTTTTGATATGCCTCAAAGTAAATTGTTTCTTGTAGGATTTATTAAAAAGCAACCAAAAATATAATTTTAGCTGGAACTTTGGAGGGTTGGGAGATGTCATTACCCCTGTATTACTGTACTTCCGGATGCAGAATGAAGGTAAAAATACAGATCATCCTACAGCATGCCACAGTACTGTACCTCTTTTGCCTCTACTTGCTTCCAATGGCAAAACTCTGCAAATTGGAACAAATCATCATAGGAAACCAATACTCATTCTCCTTGTTCTAAAACACATATGCTGCCTTTTTTACGAAAAGTTTTACTTGCAACAGAGGAGCAGTTGCAGATTTAAATAATAAATATATGTGATAGAGGGGAGCAAGAACTATATCTGTATTTAAGGTTGTGTTTAAGGAACCATGATATCAAATCACCACCTCCTTTGTGTCGGTAAATAGCTTGAGAATCGGTATAAATGTTAATTAAGCACTTGGTCTCTTGTGAATGAAAATATTAGTAGAATGTTAGCTTGCACAACAGAGATCTAATTTTACACATGACTACGCAAAACGCTTGCTGGTTTGCCAGGTTCCCTGGTGTGTGAATGGGGGAACCTCTCCCGGAGGTGAATGGCATCTTCCAAAGTGTGTTAGGCTGTGTTAGAGCAGCAATTTTTGCAGGCTTTTCTTAGCAGTATGGGTTTGATTTGCTCTTGATTGAACGGCTAACAAGTATGCATGCTTTGCATATTCTTTCAGCAAAATGACAAACTTGCAACAAAATCTTGCTAGTAATGATCTTGCTAAAGGTGGTCTTGAAAACAGCAAGTGTGTTCTGGTGTGTGGATTTCCAGTTGGAGGCACTCTTCTGTATCCTCACCCCAGCTCAGACTTCTTTATCTCTTTTGACTTTTGACAATCACCCTGACCGATTGACCCAGTCCAGAAGTTTGTCACGTAACTACAGCATGAATATGTTGTGTTTGTTTGGAGTTGGAGAATAAAAACACTCTTCACATGTTGGCTCGGGTTTAAGTGGTGTAAAGACAGACATGATGATGTGCAGATGCCTGGTAGTCCATTTCTGTAAATCTTTTCTCCCCCTTTTCTGTCTTTATAATGAGAACTGAGGTTAACAGCAGGTAGCTTGTGGAAAATCTGTGCAAGCCATTTATAGTTTCTTTAATTTTTTTCAGTAGAGAATACCCGATACT